GGAATAATCCAAAAATTTAATCATCTTGAGTCTCGTTTTGATCAATGATTTGATCATATTAAGACTCGCTTGGATCAGCAGGATTTTATATACAATGAGGATATGAGCTGGGTGAGAGGACAGGTTGATTCAATTAATACTTAAGTAGCTACCATCAATAGCTACTTTACCTAATTCACTCCTCCATAGCCTCCTCTTGATCAAGATCCTTTAAGTTTTTAGTTTAGTTGTTGATTGTTCTACATTTTTGCTATTCAGTTCTTGTGATGTTGCATCTAGATGCTTTAGATTTTACATTATTATATTTTCTTTGTATTTGAGTCCATGTTTTTTTATATTAAAAAAATTTGGTTATTGCTATATTTTTTTCCATTCTTAAATTGTTTATGAGTTATTATTGACTAATCTAGAATGTTGATATAAAGGATGAACATTTTAAATTTTTTGTATTACAACGTTAATTCCTTAGAAAAGTTTTTTTCTCTCAAACTTTAAATCCAATTATAGTTAGATTTAAATGAAGGGATCATCTTCATGTTTCAATCGACATTTATCTTATAGATATAATTATTGCAAAAATTATGATTTTTTTTAATTTTCTTATTCAATGTGTTGATTTTATTATTAACTGTTAGATTTTATTTTATGATTTAATATTCCTTATATGAGAAAGTTTTTCTTTTATTTGGAAGATAATCACAAAAGCTAAGATTTGCTGATTTAGGTTGTGGAAAGAACAACATGTCAAAAGATGCACAAAATGTGCTAAATTTGAAAAGATGCACAAAATGAACTCAACCATAAAAGATGCATAAAGCATGCCAAATTTGAAAAGAAGCACAAAATGAGACCAATCAGGAAAATGCATAATGTTCGCAATTCTAGTCGATAAAGAGGCATAAAATGAGCCCACACTATATTTGGTTCATATATATATATATATATATATATATATAAGAAAAATCCATACATTAACTAATAATTTCAACTACTGAATTTGAAATTATTTGATTTTTATATAATTATTTTTGTGATAATTATTCTATTTGATATTTCTACCTTCTAGAATGAATCTTGAACATGATCACATATTTTTATCTTAGTTATTCCTTGAATTAAAAATGAGATTAAAAAGCGTTTTTTACATAAGGAATTTAATGTTGTTCTTACAAAATTTAAAATTATTTTCCTTATCAACTTTTAGTTTCATGCATAACATCCGACTTTTTTGGGGGATTTCTATATTTTTTATTTCGTTCTCTTCACTTTTTGCTAATGTCAAAAGGGCAAGGTATAATTTGTGGTTATTTGAAGTCTTCTTGGTCTCTATGTGTGTGTTGTGGTACTTTCTTTTGGTGTGTCTATGTTTATTATGTGTTTATCTTGTGTATTTCTTGCAAGAGAGTTTTGTGTTGTGTTTAATTTATAATAATAATTAAAAAAGGAGGATGAAAAATTTTTCCCAATGATTTCTATTTTTTCATTCATTGAGGGGGAGCTTAGGAGAGAAGAAATTTTTTTATTCAAATAATAATGATTTTTGCCATCATAAAAAAGGGGGAGATTGTTGCAAATCAGGAATCAAGATTGAGAATGTGATTTTTGATGATAGAAAAATATTATTATCCTGATGATTTTATTGTTTCTCCTTGCATATATTGGATATTTCTATTTGTTTTTTTTGTGTACTAATAATTCAGAAAAATCATATAATACTCCAAAATTCATGAAGACTTCAAGATATGGTAGAATAAGATTTCAAGTAATCGAGTACGTATATCTCTATTTTTTTCTTGAGTCTCAGTAAATATGATTGTAATTGGGTAGCCGTGCACACACACATAGGAGGAGAGTGGTAATTTTTTTTTTTAAGTATGATTGTATTGTACGGTATCCATTCGTACTGTATGATTTAGCATACTTTTTCTCCAGAATGCAATTAATCAAATCATGACTTGAATTTTTGGAACTATTCATACTATACGATATCAAGTGGTACTAATAACTCACAGATTATGAAACTATAATTATACTAGATCATACCAAATAAATAAATTGATTTTTGAATTATTCGTACAATATGATGTCAGGTCATATAGATGACTAATAGAGTATAAGATTTGTTTCGTACCAGATCGTACAAAACGAACTCATTTATTTTTGAACTATTCGTATAGTACGATGTCAAGTCATACAAATAACTAACAAAATATAAAATTAGGTTCATGCAAGATCGTATCAAACAAACACATTTGCTTTTAAATTATTCGTACAATACGATATAAATTCATACAGACGGCTAACAGTGTACAAAACTAAGTTCACCCAAGTTCGTACCAAACAAAACTTTAATTTTCTGAACTATTCGAACCGTACGATCGTACCATACGAATGTAAGTTGGTTCAATGAAAATTTCAATTTTAGGATAATTTTTCATTTGTTTTCTAGATATATAGTCCAAAAACTATCTTTCTATCATTTTCTTTGAATTTTTCTTAAGAGTTACTTTTTTATAGTGTATTTTGGAGAGATTTTATGAATGAAGAGTGAGAGATTAAGAGAAGTGAAGTTATGAGGGATTCCAAGGTTACCCAAAGCGAGGATTTCTTTGTCTTCTTCAAGTTTCTACCCAACATCTTTGGAGACTCTTGAGAGAAGATCTACAAGATTGGATTAAGGTTCTCTACCTTCATTAGGAGGATGAAAAAGTATGTAAAACTGTTATCTGCCTTCACCCGGAGGGTGAAAATGGACGTATAGGTACTATACCTTCACTAAGAGGGTGAAAAAAGATGTGAAGGTACACTACCATCACTTAGAGAGTGTAAGAGTCTACTGTTCCTGCCACACCAAATTGGTGGAAGATAATTTGTAAGGGCTTCTCCACCTTGTTGTGGGGGTAAAAGGACAGTCAATTGTGTTTAGTGTAACACATAGAGGAGTCTCTAAGGAGTGGATATAGATCTAGTTGGATGGAAACACTATAAAATTTGTTGTTTTTTGTTACCTTTATTTTTCTCGCATTTTTATTTTATTGCATTTAAATTTTGTGGTTAAAAATTATTTATAATAATCATTTATATAAACAACATGTTTAAAGATTAGCGATTTAACATCCAAAAAGTTTTTAAAAAGGTTTTCAAATATACAAGAATTTTTTTAATAATAACCAATTCACCCTCCCCCATCTTGGTTAGTCTTGGAATAGTTCTATAAGGTCTAAAAACCTACACGAACTTTTAGACTTCAACTCGACCCAAGTTTTTCGGGTTAGGGTTGTCTCTTTTAAAAAAATGGGTTATGTTCGAGTCCTTAATTCTAACAAGTTTCATTTTTTTGGGTTGGGTTCTGGTTAACTTGAAAACTCGATTGTGACCCAAAATGACCCGTGATGTCAATCGAGCTTGTTTACTTCCAACGCAACAGTGCTTTGTCACGGACCATTTCTTTTCTCGAACATCTCTTTCGATGGCGAGGATCTATGCATGCCATTGCAATGCCATTCAGGATGGGATTGAGCAGATTCGCTAGTGGAAGAAGCACAACGAGATTGTTAGATCGTGCTAATTTCCTTATATCCAAACAAAACCCCATTGGAGGAGGCTAATTGCGTTATGCCAAGAAGGCGCTAATTAAGATCCAACAAGGATTATGGCCACTTTCAATCCCTTTCATAGAGCATTTCTCAATTGTGGTTGCTGACTCATTGATTATTGCCCTCGCAGCAAGCGAGCACCTGTATTCACAGCCTATCACATTGACTTGTTGCAACTTACAATCCCACAGGAAGGAAAGTCGTTGTTGCATGAGGTGAGGAAGTCTTTTAAGTGCTAGTTAAAAGCCCTACCTCACATGACTAGTCGATGACCAAGCAACTCCGGGTTAGGTCGGGTTGACCTAAAATCGAATAAGTTTGGGTTAGGGTTAAGGAAATTGATCTAAAACTTTAATCAGGTCGGTTAGACCCACACCTGACCTTCAAACCCATTTTGACACCTCAAAATTTACTGATTAGACTCATCCATGAACTGTAGACATCATAGTTCAGTGGTATTCCCTCATTCTTGGAAATTGATTCTCGTTCAAAGGAACTTGCTTCTCACAAACTCATATTGTAGCTTAGATTCTAAAGGCTTATCCAAGATGGTCACCCTTCAAGACTCTCATAAGGTGCTCGCTTGAGGGGAGGGGCCATGTAAAAGGAAGGAATCCATTTATACATTATCCAACGAACCGATGAATTATTAGTATTAGTTTGCATCAGCCAAATCATGCACCATTTTTTTTCGTGAGTGTAGTCTTTCTTTTATTTTATTTTTAACCTTATAAATAAATGGCAAAGATGAGTATTTTAGATTTTTCAAGCTATTATGAAGACTCCTATAAATGCTATAGCTATCTTCTTACTCTCCATACTCCCTAGTGTCACTCACAAGTTATTTTTAGCTCTGGCTGCCAATAACACTCAAGTGAGAATGTGTGTCATTTATGAACAAATTTTAATTTAACACTAATTTTTTCTTATCTAATTGTGATACCATAAAATTAGAGATTATAGGAGACTTTCTCTGATTTCTTATTTTAAACTGTAAGAAAATTAAAAATTAAATTAATATGTAATAAATAATAAAAAATATAAATTAAGATAAAAAATTATTATTCAATTAATATAATTTTTTTTGGAACATTTAGGCCATTTAAGACAAAATCATACACACAACGCATATACATAGACTCGAATCCTGAACCTCTTAGTTGGAAGCCTAAGCTCTCAACCAACAGGATAAGGAGAGTTGTATAATTAATATAATTAAATCACACAATTTACAAAAATCCGAGAGGGGCGAGCGCGAGCGGCTCGGACGTCGGGAAACTGCTATCCTCAGCTTTAACACAAACGGGTCGACCCGTGCCCTTACCACCACGTGTCCTCAAACCATGCTCTGCCCGTAGGATGGATAATATTTCTCTCCTCCAGGCCTCTATATGTAGAGACCTCCTATATGTATACTCCTCACGTTCTGTTGATCCTCTGATAGCCATAAACTCTTATCCTTTGGGAGAGATGGATCACGCTGCAGACGCTCATCGGACGGACCTGATGACGATTACCAGATTCGTGCTTAACGAGCAGTCTAAGCACCCGGATAGCAAGGGCGACTTTTCCATTCTTCTCAACAATATCGTTCTCGGCTGCAAGTTTGTTTGTTCCGCCGTCAACAAGGTCGGATAGCTGTTTTCCTCGCGCTTTGCCCTCTATTATGAATTTGTATCCTACCGTTATTCGAGTGCTAAATCAACTATTGCCCCTCATCTGTCAAAAATTGTTTTTGTTTTCTAGTTGATATTGTTGTTTCTTATATTTAGCTTGTGTGATTGGCCTATTCGGCTAAATGGTTCTGCTTTTTTATTAAAATAACTAGAGATCATAGCAAGTTCGACGTCCAATATGAATTACTCGATTTAGTCGTTTGATGTTCAAACATTAATAATCTCCTTTTTCTTTGAGGTTTTTATTAAGTTCGAGGTTTAATGATTTTTAACAAAAATGCACGCATTTTATAATTTCTGATTGATTTCAATCCCTCGTTCTATTTTAGGCACTCTCCCAATTTGACCAATGATTTGATTAACTGACTTTGCTGTTTCCATGAAGGAAAGGAGCTTTCCAATTTGAAAAATAAAATGACTAATTACCAGTAAAAAACGAATGATTACTTAGGGGTCTTACTATTTTAAATTTTGTCACACATGCTCAACTTAATAAACCCAACTAAATTGCTAATTAAATCATAAGGGTTTTGGATTTCTTTGTTGATTTTGTATATTCACATATGGCTTTATAAGTATTCAGTAAATAACCTGACACCTTATAGCAGGAACTTGCTCACAGGTTGTGTTGAATCCAAATTTGTCTTTTGGATGATACCCGACTTTACTAGCTGATTAACTTAGTGAGTTTTAAACCTGTTAGTGAGAATGGAGAGTAAAGTGGATAGAGAGGAGGTAAGTAAGCTTGTAGAATCTCCACTATCTTAATAAAAAAATAGAGTCAAAGATCCAAAGTCTCTAATCAAAAGTGAGAAAGAGTTTAGAAAAAGGTCCTAGACTGCTCCTTGTCACCTTCTATTTATAAGATTTGTAGGGCTACAACAACAGATACATTGAGAAAAATAAAAGAATGCTACACGCTAATCTAAGTTATGTGTCCTCTCTTGATTAGCTAAAAAAGGGTGGACTCAATGGCTGGGTGAGATCTCTCGTTGGGCTAGTTTGAGAGGGTTGAGTAGACGTAGGGTGAGTTTGTGGGCGATTTTGAGAGGAGATGGATTTGAAGTTGGTGAATCATCTTGCTGGATCAGCATCTGTCGTAGGAGGTTCGGGGTCACCTTGTCATGAAAGGTGAACATAAATTCTTGCGAGGATAAAGAGTCTTTGAGCCTAAAAGTTGCAGCTTTGTGGAATGTGAAGTCTCTGGGGTTGGCACTTCCTTGTAGTCGAGTATAGTGAGTTGTGAGGATTTTCTTGGTTGCCATCATTTGGGTGAGCTTCTTGGTGTGGATAGGCAAGCGACTCCTGTCATTCTCATTGGGTAAGTTCATCTGCTGGTCAAGGAAGATCCTTTGAGGGATTTGCTCTCAAGAGGGGAAACCCTTATCACGACCAGATCGTTATATGTCAAAACACCAGAGAAGGCAATCATAGATTCACTCAGCCCTTTGATAAATGAGTGACAAAAAAGGCGAGAGAATGAATATTAAATTCGGCTACCTAATATAAAAATTGAGAAATAAATGCGAATTTATTATAGTCTCGAGGACCAAGTTGATATTGCATTGATGACGTTAACATGGCATCACACTGTACCGAGGCTTCTTTATAAATTTGAAGCTGGTGTTGAGGGAAGTTTATTTTCTTGCTCATTGTAATCAGTGAACCTGTGAGTACTTTGAGATATAAACCTTATCATTGCGGCTCAATACCATAGCCAAGCATCTAGGTTGACCACGTTTCACCAAGGAGAATTGACCTTTACCGAACACCAAGTAGATGGTTGCAGACTTTTTGACAACCTCTTCAAGTAAGGAAGTTGACAAGGAGGAGGCTTGACAAAGAATTATTTAAGAGCCAAATTGACTTGTAGATATAGTCAAGGCAGAGAATCATTAATGCACAAAGTTCTTTTCCCTAAATATGGTTCAATTTTTGATGAAGAGGCTTCGGTAAAAACAGGTTCTGCTGCTTGGAAATTAATTTATAATGGAGGGGAATTTCTTAAACCTATTGTCAAATGGAGAATTGTCAATGGAAAATTAGTTGATGTCTTCAAAGATACTTGGTTAATGGATAAAAGAATTCAAAGATGGCCAACCTTTGTGCAGTCGATGGAGAGCATGAATTCATTGGTGGATATGTTCATTTGCAAAGGTTGCTGGGATGTCAGGAAGCTTAAAAGATACTTTGGTTAAGAACTTGTAAATCTTATTACAAGTATACAAATTTCATCTGATTGTTCATAATACCAATTGGAATTCATTCTTAGGAATTCTAGTAAGTCAATTTCGGCTTTGGCATCTGATGCTTAGGAACACTATAACAATTATTTTACTGGTCGGACCTGGTTTAAAAAATCAAAGCTCATTCCTAGAGTGGAAACATTTTGATGGAGAGTACTCAACAAAGCAATTCCAATAAACCAATTTTTATGTTATAGAAGATTACAAGGGAATGACGATGCCCAAGGAGATGTGATGGTGTTGAAGATATTGAGCACATTATTACTAAATGCAGGAAGCTAAAGGACGTTCAACAATTAAACAATTGGGGATTCAGTATTCCTTATTTCACTTCTTTTGATATATGCTGTAAATGGTTGGATAATCAAAATCATTGGCTGGTTAACCTATTTTGTAACACGGTATACTTATTGTTGAAAGCTAGGAATGAGTTTGTTCATGGTGGATTAGTGACGAGCCCATTAGTGATTGCAACCAATGCTGCGAGTTTTGCTGCTGTTTCAAATTCTTTTAATTGTTTTAAATCAGGTATCTGGGATGTTAATCAACCTGTCAGATTGTTGGATAATCATTGGCATCCCCTCCACCCTATTGGTTCAAAGTTAATGTAGATGCTTCCCTATTAAGGCCCTACAAGGCTGGGATTGGTGGTATGACTACAAGAGGAGATTCTTGTTGGCATTTGGTAATGATTGTGTTCATTCGGGCATAACTAGGTTGGAGCTTTTAGCTATTCAATCTATCAAGGATGTGGCTAAAGATTGGATGTTGCTTACAAGGGACTAATCATCGAAGGAGATAGCAAAAACATTATCAGATTCATTCAGACAACCGTTAGGAAAGCCAGTCAGGATTTGGGAGATATCTCTTTTATTAAAGATTTTAATTATGTTATTTTTAATTGTGTAAATAGGGAAGACAAGTTAGCTAATCTTTGTGCTAACTAAGCTATTTTTAGTTCTTTTATTTAGGAAGATAGTCATGAATAAGGTTCCTCCTTTTATTAAATTGTTGAAGGAGGAATCAGATGCTATTAGGTTGTAGTCTATTTTTCTTTCTTTAGTTATTAATGAAGCTATTTGCTTTTCTCTAAAAAAAGGAGGCTCGACAGCTGGCTGAGCCAGTTGAACTCCGTGCCTCCTTACAAAGAAAGCTAAAAAAAAAGTTAAAATAAAAGCTGGGGAGGCAACCATTGTTGCGGGGGAGCAGATTGCTACAATTGTCAGTGAGTCGCCTATTGTTGTTGTCCCTGTTGTCTTAGTAGGGGTAATCACAATGGAAGATGAAGATGATGAAGCTTTTCTAACTTGGGTGAAGAGGCGAGCAACCTTTCGGGCAATGTTTAAAATTGCGTAATCAGGTATTGAGGTGTTTTTCGTTCGTGAGGCGAGGCGTAAGCCTCAAGGCGTTTTTGAGGCGTAAGCCTCAAAATCAAAATATTGCGTAAATATAAAATGATAAATTATGTATATACTAATGAGTAAATAATATATAAAACATAAAAATGCATAAAATATGAAGTGAAATCAAAATATCTCAATAATAAGACAACATGAAATATAGTTCAACTCAAACTCCATCCTTTATGAGAAGAATATATTAGTGCAATATATTAAACCCCTAAACATAACAATTACTACTTAAAATAATGAATACAACAATATACCGGTCTGCCGGGGATCCAAGGGGGCGCTGCCCCTTGGTGGGGTTCGACCTGCTTGTTTTTAAAGTTCGTAAGTTGTTTATATGGAAAGATACTGAGCGGTACCGAGCATGTACCGAGCATATACCTGCTCGGTACCACTCAGTATCGAGCATATACCTAGTGGTACTGAGTATGTACCACTCAGTACCGAGCATATACCTGCTCGGTACTGAGCGATATTGGCTCGGTACCGAGCATGTACCTCGTGGTACCGAGCATGTATCTAGTTTAACTTTTTTTTTTTTTTTATAAATTTTTAGAGGCGAACGCCTCTCAAACATGAGGTGAGAGGCGCGCCTCAGTAAACTTGAGGCATACGCCTCAAATCTTGAACTCATTGCATAGACTTTGAGGCTTAAAGGGGCGAAATTGCGATGAGGCGCGCCTCTTATTGCGTAATTTTAAACCATGCTTTCGGGGACCAGCATTGGAGGCTGTTAGGGAGATAACTCCACCAGTGGCCATTTCGCGGGAATCACTTCATATGGAAGATAAGTCTAAAAATGACAAGTTTGGTCATTTAAAGATTGTGATGCCAGGAAAGGAAGTACCTGCTATGAGGGAGCCAGTAGCATGTGTGTCATCGAGTGAGCTATTGCAGTGTTTGCCAAATGGATAAGAGATGAAAGCTCTGGTGTTGTGGACAAACTTCAAGTATTGCAGGAGAAATGCATCATGGGATAAACTTTTTTATGTTCCCATGCAACTCCTAGACTAAACTTCTGATGAAACATCTAGTTGTTGATTTTGGCGCCGACTTTGGAGGAGCCCCAAGATGTGGGACATTTGGCTAAGCCTCTAGCTGTTTTATCATGGTCGGTGGAGTATAAGAGGTTGACGTGAAAAAAGATGTAGTTGGTGATGCAGCTTTGGCGATGACAGAGGTGCAAAATGTGGCATTATCAGTTGAGCAGATGGAAAGCGAGTTTGTTGGGATGCACGTAGATGCTCGTGATGTCATTCTCCTTTGGACAAAATGCTGACTTCTTTTCTCTCCTAAGA